GTTCCTCATCATACACATTATGTACGTTTCCACGTATGCTTTACTTACATGTGTACATTTCAAGATCCTCATTATACACATTGCTCACGTTGTCGCGTGTGCTTTACTTATATGTGTTCAAATTCCTTTATTTTCACACATTGTACATGTTGTCGCATGTGCTTTACTTACATGTGTATACTCTTCCTCACCTCCACATATTGTACACGTTGTCGCGTGTACTTTACTTATATGTGTTTATGCCTTCATAGCATTGTTATGCCTATTTCCAAATTGCATTGTTATGCACACACTTAGGTTGCGTTGTTATGCACCCCTCTGACCCGCATTGTCATGCACCCCTTCGCTTGCGTTGTCACGCACCTTTCAATTGCATTGTTATGCATGTATCTAACAATACTGTACCTGTTAAGTTTTCTTTCTCTTACAGGCACGATATTGTATGTACGGTTCATTTGAAGCTAGACCGACCAGACGAATCGGACAGGTATTGTATTCTTCGTGTGAGACGTAGCGAGAATTGAATAATTCTCCTACACCCTCTCTGCATTGTAATATAGCTTGGTTTTAGCTTAAAACTGTTACATGATTTGCTTCGTTGCAGCTTTCTTTGCATGATCATAAGTTATGCTCGGCTTTGTGCATTGTTTTGTATTTTGCCCCCGCCTTCGGGCACATATCTTTGTTTGTAGCTTGTATGCTTTGTCTAAGTCTTCGGCCTTGTCAAAAATGGGTCGTCTCTAGGCTTTGACATTCACTCCCGTCATTGTTAAGACTTTCAAGTTCTGTCAAAGAGGGGCAACTGTAGACACTCCATTTTTGACCGTCCTCATGACTCGGACGTCATCGTTTGAACACTCGATGATCATCCATGTTCGTGTTCGTTTTGAGATCCCGAAGGACTCGGCAGCACACCTTGCCTTAGGATCTCTCGACTTGACCGTTTTGTGCTTGGTTGTGGACCAAAAACTTGTTTGTTTTTGCACCTGAGGGTAAGAGGCGGCTTGTTAGCCATCCCCTAAAACCCATCGGCCGTGGCATGAAGCCACCGGCCTTGCTTTTTCTGCTACCGACCAAATATTTGGTTGGTCGGCACTTCTGTTAGGTGTATCGGCTCTTTGAGTGGTCGGCCGGCCATTTATTTGGCCGATAGTCTCTCTCACTGGCCGATACCTCCTTTTTGCCTTTTTCAGGCATTGTGCATACCAGCTGGAGTGTACGGACCTGTCCTCCATACACGTGTATGAAGGAATTTGCACCCTTTGCACCCTTTTGGTCTAGCTTCTTGACGAAGCTTGGACCTTTGTCTTAGCTTCCTCAAGAAGCTTGGATCCCTGTCTCAGCTTTCTCAAGAAGCCTTGGCCCCTTAGCCTTAGCTTCTTTAAGAAGCCTTGACCCCTTTTGTTTAGCTTCTCTTGGAAGCTTAGGCCTTTGCCCTATCTATATAAGAAGGCCCTCCCCCTCCTTTGATGGGGTTCAGCAAAAATCAGACTTATACATCTGATATATAATATATATCACTCTCTCTCTCTATATATCTTCCTCTCTCTCTACATTTGTGTGTGTTAGAGGGCCTAAAAGTGTGTTTTGGTCTTAATTTTGCACTAAGACACCTAGTGTTACACCTTGCCTTGGTTATTGAGGTGTTGAGAGGTTGTTCTTGGAGCTTTTGAGTTGGTTTTGATCATAAAAGGGGGCTGGAGTTTTGGTTCTTCAAGTATTCTTCAAGGGTGAGCACTATTGCTTTATATTCCCCATTCTTGCACTAGATTTTAACCTACTTCGCATGCTGTTTTAAGCTTTGTGTATAACATATAAAAGTTCTATTTTTTTGTGTTTAAGATACTTCATTAAGGTCACTTTGGTGTTGGGGGTCGTCTACCCCCTCTTAGGCCTTGTTTGGCCCTTTTTGTTCTTTCTTTGTCGAGCTTCGGGAACATTCATGTATTGGCCTTCTCACCACTGAAATCCAAAGGATTTTCAGTGGTGAAGAAGAGGTTTTGAGGTCTTGCATAGGGGAGGGACACCCCTCTCCCTTTGTCTCTCTTTTGCTTATGTTTTTGGCTCATAAGAGTAGCATGCATGCTTAGTTGTTTTTAGCATCATTTCAGTAGGTATTTGGTGATATTTGGTCATATTATACCTCTTTTTTTAGTTGGTTTGATGGTCCATTTCATGCATTATATGCTTGCCTTGTAATCTCATGTTTTGGCCTAACATGTATCATGTTGTGAGATGACATTTTAGCATGATTTTGGTTTGACTCCATGAAGCTTTTAGTCCTATTTCATCATGTTTAAGGTCTGTCTTGGGTCTTTAGAGTCATGTTTGCCATCTTTTGTATAGCCCCTTTGCATTCTAGCTTGTAGGCCTTGAGTGTGTGAGCCATAGACATGCTGTAGTTGGGTTGTTTCAGTGATTTGGAGTCATTTCCCATGCTATTTCAGTCCATAATTCATGCTTGTATGCTTGCATTCATCATCTCTTTCATGCTTTGAAGAGTCATCCTTTTGTGCCTTGTAATGGGTCATAGTGCATGCCTTTTGTTTAAGTCATTTGGGATGCCATTCATATGGATTTTGGGGTGTATCTTGACGCACGAAAACTCTGTTTTTGGTTGCATAACCCATGCCATGTGTGGTCATGATAGTTGTAATGGAATGCTCACTTTTATGCCTTAGTTTTAGGCCCATTGGTGTGCGTGTTTGCATGAGCATTTGTCCATCATTTTTAGTATGTTTCGCCACTGTTTTAGGGCAGGGCTGAGGCCTCCCATTTCAGTTTAAGTCCATCCTTGTATATAAATTGCATGATTGACATGTTGCATTACATTGGTTGCATGCTTACCTTGTATCGTGTTTGCATGTTGTTTAGCTAGTTGTATTACATAGTCTCATTGTATGCTTGACATGTTCATATTGCATTAGTTTGGCTTGCATGGTTAGGTAGTGTCATGTTGCATTAGCTTAGCATGCTCATATTGCATTGCATTAGTTGCATTACTTCGCATTGCATATAGCATACATACATAGCATTGTGTTTAGTTTGGGGTGTCAAACCAAACACGAGGAGTGAGGTGTGTTCGTACTCAAAGTGACGAAACACATCTCAATCCTCGGTCGCCGATGCCCTTGATCTCAACATGATAGGGCGTGAGGCATTCATTTGTTTTGTTGCATGCATTTACATTGATTTGCAAGCTTGGTGCCTTTGGCCATCATGCATCAAAATGCGTGACTGGTGGCCCAAGTACCAAGGGCCGCACTCCCTTGAGTCCATAACATGATGGGGAGTGTAGCCATGCATACATTGCTTTGAAATTTCCTTGCCATACACTGTCTGTCCACTGTTGCAGCAAAAACAGGATTCTGCAGGAATAAATGGCCAGCCAGCCACTTCAAATGCCGACCGACCATCAGAGTCCAGCCGGTGACCCAATTTATGGTCGATGATCACATTTACATGGTCGGTGGTGCTTTTCATTGGCCGGTGGCATTCCAAAATGATCAGGGAATGGTTCAGAGGTGCCTCAAGAATTTTCACATCCCTCAGAGGTGCAGAACTGTGCAAACAGAGGCAACAGTGGCATGGTAACGAGTTTCCGAGCAAGGCAAATCGAGCATGCATCATCCACGCATTCTGAGGCAGAGCTGCGGCGGCCTCTTTAGTTTCATATTTAGGCTGTTTTTGTAATTGATTTGTTAATTAATTAGAATTTTTGTAATAATTAATTAGTTAGGATAGTTGATTCATTTTTTGGCTTGTATTATTCTTTCGGACCCTCCGAGCGAGGGCAATTGTATAATAAGTGTGTGTGAGTGTGTGTATGTCTTCCAACCGCCACTTCTTTCTCCCTTTTATTTACCCGCTTTCAATGGTTAGTATTAGGGCATATTTAAATTAGCATACCTTATGCTATGCATGCGTGCATTCATTCATCTGTCTTGCATGCACCGGGGCTCGGCGCATCATAGTAACTGCATTGTATTTCAATTCCAAGTTGAATACATGTTTCGGTTGTTGCATTTCATATGCCATCTTAGAATAGCCGAGCCTATCTTAGTTGCATTCTTGCATGTGTTGCATTAGACATCTCAGCATAGTTAGGATTCATGCATGTTTTCTAATTAGCTTATTTCTTTGGCTCGGAGTACTCGATAAGTCTTTATGCTTTAGCATCTCGTATGTGTGTGAGTGTTAACATAACAGCATGCTTACCATGAGGCTAATTGCTTATGTGATATAAACTGCCTGAATGCCTGTGGGTGAAGGTTGGATTGCTTGAATTGGGATAATTCATTGAAATCTGTGTTTTAGCCTACTTACGAGTAGCAAATTTCAAATCATTTTCGAAACAAAACGGATATGCGATGCTTTGTTCCAAATTAGGCGATCTAGTCTATACTTGTGTGTTGTGCGCATCACATAGTAAATTCTAGCTAATTAATCGGAATAAGAAGACATATGTTTTCAAAATGAGATATCATGTTTAGTAGTGACCGATCTTTGATCGGGCGAGCGGGGGTGCTCATAGCTGACCTTCCCCAATTGTACCCAAGTTCCCGAGCCGAGGCAACTTTGGTGATGACAGACACGTGGCCTTAGGCAACGAGTCAGGGTTTCCTAAATTTCCCAAAAATAAAACATTTAGGTGGCGGCTCTGTATCTGACAAAGCAGTCCATGTTTGGCACTTCTTTCTAAAAATCTGTTTTTCAAAACGATTTGCCGGATTTGGACTCTTTTGTGATTTATCAATCTCACATCGCACATTGTGAGATCAGATTAAAAACCGTGACAATTTGAGTCCGAACTGTAGTGAGCCCAAATGAACAAAACGGGATTTCCCTCCCAGGACGTTCAGGGACGTCTACAAGAACCTTTGGTGTGTTTGTCAAAAAATAAGGCAAATGAGGTGCTGAGGGAAGCCCACAAGACAAAGCATCAAGGAGTGCAGCGGTTATACGGACATCTCATTCACCTCGACTACTACTGGTCGATAATGGAAGAAGGTGCTAAAAACTTTGTGAGGAGATGCCAATCCTGCTGGAAGTTTGGGAACTTAATACATGGACCGGCAGTCGAACTACACAACATCAAGACTTCTTATCCGTTCCATATTTGGTCATTTGACCTGGTAGGTCCTATAGCACAGCAATCCAAAGGCTACAAATGGATACTTGCAGCAACTGAAGTTAGCACCAAGTGGGTAGAGGCTATACCGATGAGGAAGGCAGATGGGGCAGGAGTAGCCAACTTCATCAGAGATAACATAATCTATAGGTTTGGCATACCTAAAGTAATGTTGTCTGATAATGGAACTCCTTTTGTAAATCGCCATGTTGGAAGACTGCTGGATGCCTACCAGATCAAGTACTACAAGTCTAACCCATACTATCCCTAAGGGAATAGACAAGCCAAGGCATCCAACAAAACCCTCATCCGAATACTGAATAAAATGATGGATGAAGTAGGGGCCACATGGTCTGAACAACTCCTCGTAGCACTATGGTAGAACGTTAAAGAGAAAGCCAACCCAGGCAACCCCATTTTCCCTAGTATATGGGTCCGAAGTTATGTTACCAGTTGAGTTAGTAGTTTCCTCAGCAAGAATGGCTATGTCAGCACACTTAGTTCCAGACAGTAGGACGAATAAAATAGAAGTAGTTGAAGAAAGAAGAGATCGGGCCTTGCGGGCAATGGAAAAGTATCATCAATCCATAGCCTGTGCCTACAATCAATCTATTTAACACAGAAAGTTCAAGGAAGGGGACCTAATATGGAAAACAGTGGACGCAATCATGCGGGGGCAGCCAATTCCCAAATTCTCACCCAGATAGGAAGGCCGCTACAAAGTTGCTGAGACAAGCAGCAGCAGTTACTACAAGTTGACAAGAGTAGGTGATGGATTCAGAACTGGTCCTGTTAACACCATGTCAAAGAATATTTTCCTCAATTTCTTTTGTTCAGGAAAAAGAGTTGTAAGTTTCTTTGTTAATGCTCCCAAAGCAAAGTGTAAAGAAAGTGTCATGCACTTAGTAAACCTTTTGCTCTCATATTCACGTAGTTTGAGGAAAGTTTTCCACACTTAGTGAAATTTTACTCTTGTAAAAGCTTAGTCATGATGAAGTTTTGTTCACTGTAAGAGTTTTGCTTATCTTTAGAAGCTATATAAAAGCAATGTAAAGAAAGTGATGAAATGAAACCCAAAAGTACTACCAAAGATCCATGCTTTCCATTAAAGTCAAACTTCCAGAACATGATTACAATGTTTGAAAAGAAGCTATGACAGAGAAGAAGAAAAGGAAAGGCGCACCGAGCGCGATGAAACAACAAAAATAAAGAAGAGAAAATGGAAGAAATCATAACAAAGTCACAGAGTTACATCAAATCAAATCAAACCTCCGAAATGGGCAAAATGGCCTACGGCCACCAAATGTAGCCTACGGACATTGAGAGATGGTCTACGGGACCTCTCCCTCCCCTCAGGAAAAGAAACAGAGAAAACCGAGTCTGGTTCGCAAACCGAGACAAGGCACATAAGAAGGTTCGGAAGTCCGGAAGCAGGGCTCACGGCCGCGACTCTGAAATTTTTGAACGAGCACATTATGCAACATCACCAAGCACTCAATCGGTGACGTCTGAGTCTTAAGGTCGGTCAAAAATGGGGTGTCTACAGGCGCACCAAGCGCGATGAAACAACAAAAATAAAGAAGAGAAAATGAAAGAAATCATAACAAAGTCACAGAGTTACATCAAATCAAATCAAACCCTTCAGAAGGGAGTCCATCAGAGTCACATCTCGAGGCAACTAGGCAACCAATGCAAAGTCCTTTTCTTTGAACCGAGCCAAGTTCTGTCGATGCTACTCCAGGGTACTCTCACACTCCTTGATAGTCTCCTCGAATGACGCAATCATCACCACATTGTCAGCGTGCTCAAGGAAACCATCAACCGCCTGAAGCCTGTCTCTCATTCATGATAGGTTCAAACCATTCTTCTCGAAGCCGCTCAGATTAGCCTCGACACTCTCCACAAACTTACTAGGAGTCGTCAGGATTTGCTTGGTAGCAAGGTCACAAATAAACACAACAAGTGACTCCAGCAGCACCGTCTGTACTATAGATCCAGGAATATTAATGGCAGTAAAGATGTCGGGATACAATGCTTGGATATGAGCAAGAGTGGAAGCAGCTTTTGAAGAGACCCACTAACTTAGGAAAGAAACTTTCTCTGAGAACTGGAGGGACTCTCTCACACCACCGCTAGCTTCAATCACAAGAGGGAGACTGATGGAGTGACCAAAGGTCTGAGGGCGGCGCACTTTTCTTGAAGATGATTGCCCAATAGCATTAGAGTGAGTAGATGCTAGTTGGCGATCGGGTAAACTAGCCTCACGAGAAAGGCAAAACTGTCTGCACCGTCGTGTTGCTCTGAAAAGAGGTCGTCCATCTGATAATCTCCAACATTTAGATCTGGAACAATAGTGGTATCCACCCAGTATAAAAATCCCGGGACATCCCAAGGTCAGCTCGCACTTCTAGAAAGTGAGTGGGGTACAAGTCTGCCAGCTATTCAGAAGTTACCGAAGCAACTGGGTCAAAGGTCCCAGTGGCAGCAGTAATACTGTGCGTGGCTAACGTGACAGCTACCTCTGCAAGTCGGTCCAAATTCAGAGGGGCCACAGTAGGAACAATGGCATCAGCCGCTACACCTGCACTCCCCTCAGCCACTTGAACGTCTGGAAGTGGATTCTGCTGAATTAACGGAGACTTAGTAAACTGGGAGGAAATGCCAGATGCAGCTCTGAGGGGAGGCGGTGTAACTTCCATCCGCTCTCTCATGCTGCGATCTTCCCTAGGGGTCTTAGGTACGAAGTCATCTCCGCCAACAGAGAAACGGCCTGAGTGCACAGAGTCAAAAGGGTGTGAAAGCTCTAAACCCTCAGCAATTACATCACCCGCTGCAACTTCTGCAGCAGGGGGAACTTGTACATTGCCTACAGCCTCCACAATTGGCTCAGCCTCCATAACTAGCTCAACCTTGGCAACTGGCTCCGCCTCAGTAGTCGATTCGGCTTTCACACTTGGTTCCTTTTCAACATCTGGAAGAACTGTCTTGCAGGTCCTGAATCTTGTGACTCTAGTAGCAATGGGAAGGTTGTCATCGTCGTCTGAGTCTGAAGAAATGCCAATGGCAGTAGAAGAACCTCTTGGACTAGAGGGTAGTGCGGTCGATGGGCCCTAAAAAGAAGAAGAAGATCATGCGGTTATTAAAGTAAATATGAGAAGTCCAAAAAAATAATATAAAAATATTAATATATAAAAAAAATATTTTCTAAGTATGAATACCCTTCGAAGTCTCTTCCTACTGGGAGAGGCATGTGCCTCAAGAACTGATGTTACTGCTGCTTGCATTGTCCTCAGCCTAGAACGGGTCATGCGTACTGTTGCACCTACTTCAGGGGGAGCAATTTGCAAGGGTTGAACAGACATTGCCCAGGACGAGTGAGGCTCTTCCACGACAGGCCAAGATAGAAGCTTGAAGTAGCAGAATATGCTAGTCTATTTTCCTCGGTCAAAGGGCAGACGAAGGGACAAGTTGGGCAGCGGGATGGGCTCCATCGCAGCACTGTCACAAAAATTGAAGAAAGAATTAAGGTTGCAGTGCCAGAACAGTCTGTTGTTGGGAGTAAAGGCGCCCTTTCTCCCAAGTGAAGGATGCTCCATGAAACCTAAGCCCCCCCACAAGTAGAGCAGTGTAGTTGCGGGCAAACCGTTGAAAGCTCTAGTGGAAATCAGTCTGAGGCGAAGGGGCATGTGGAATACCCTAATCCATTCCGAACTGCCTAAGGACCCTGTCCAGTCGATAGACGACGCTGGGCATGCCCTTTTCATTCCATACGGGCAGAAATCTCGAGCATATCATAGCAGCAATGAGAAGGGAGTTGGCCTGGACACTATCGAGGGAAAAATTAACATGGCGGGCCTCTGAAAAATAAAATAGAACCACAGAAATGCCTGGGAGAGGCTGGGTGAAAGGGCGGAACACGCACTCTTCCATACAGTTAACATAGTCTGCGAAAGGTCTGTTGGTGCCAAGACTAGACCACCGAGAGATGCGAGGGAGGGATTGACGCACTTGCCTTGTGACAGGCCAACTCTCTACATCTAAAATAGGGCGGCCCTCCGCATTAAAGACTTCATCGGTGAAGAAGAGCTCGTGTTCCTTAGGGATAAGGCTCATGGCAAGCAATCTCTCATAGAAAAAGGCAGTCAGGAACTGAGTATGTACAAAGCTCCAAACACCATAGCGGCCCATGGATCGCTCCATGTCGGAATGGATGAGGTCAAGATGGAAATATAAGTTACCCAGGAAGAGAAAGGCTAGAGAAATCTGACTACCGCTGAAAAGCTTGACAGCCAAAGGAAACACCAAGGGATTAATGCTTTCGGTAGAGTTACTTGGTAGAACAAAGAAGGAGATGAAATAGCTGACGAAGGAAGCCATGTATAAGTCGCCGCGATAGCCTGGCCCAACTACAGAGTCGCGGCTCTCCTTGGTGACGTCGTCTACAACTGGTTGTAGATCCTTGAAGAAATGCTTCAGCCAAGAAAGGTAGGTGGTTTTGTCCGTTTTAGGCCTCTCCTGGAGCAGTTCCTCAGTTCTAAGGTCATACCAAGAACCAAACTTCCGCGCCTCCCGAAAGGTGCTTTGGAGAGTAGTGACAACAACTTGCTCTTCATGAGTCAAGGACGCTGGGTCAAAGGGGTGATCTCCACGGGTGCTGAGGCGTAGAAGGATAGCAACATCTTCCAAGGTTAGGGTTAACTCCCCCCATGCCAAGGCAAAAGTGTTGGTCTGCACCTTGTGCACTGATAACTCCATTGAAATCAGAATGGCGTTGAAAAGACGGACATCCCGCAAATGCTGCTCAAAGCCACCATCAGCAATAATGTCATCGACCCAGAGGGACCAATCTGCTGGAGGACTTAAGTGAGTGCGATAATAGACATATGAATGTGGAAAGTCACCACGCTCCACGCGAAACCACAGCATAGAGACTGGGTTCACCATGTCTGCGTCATCCAAAGTGGCCTTTCCAAAGGGAAGCAGAGGCTCCTCCAGAGGAAGGGCATCAGGAATGAAGGAGTCAATTGCCTTCCAGAAGGGGTCAGCTAGTCCTCCGAAGTATGGGGCCCTCTTTTACTCAGTAAGGAGTGGGGCAGCCTTATCGGGAAGAAATCTTGTGCTGGCCATGAGGGAGAATAAAGAATGGTGAAAAGGCTTTGGAAAGTGGAGACAAGGAGAAGAAGAAGACAAAAGAGACAAAAAGGTGTGTTGGGAATAAGTGGGGGACCAATGGACCTAAGGGCATTATTTATAAAGAAAAATCAACAAAGG